TAAGACCTATGAAGAGGCTATACAAAGTTCTGATTATGAGAAGTGGCAAAAGGCCATGGAATCCGAAATGGAATCTATGAAGGAAAATAAAGTATGGACTTTAGTTGAACCTTCAAAGGATATAAAACCTATAGGTTGTAAATGGGTTTTTAAGAAAAAGATTGGAGCAGACGGAAAGGTGGAGACCTACAAAGCCCGTCTTGTTGCCAAGGGATATCGTCAGAAAGAAGGAGTCGACTATGACGAGACTTTCTCTCCCGTGGCAATGCTCAAATCAATTCGGATTTTGCTTGCTATAGCAGCATACTATGATTATGAAATATGGCAAATGGATGTGAAAACAGCTTTCCTTAATGGTGAGCTAGAAGAGGATGTGTACATGACACAACCTGAAGATTTCACATCTTCGTCTGATCATAATAAAATTTGTAAGCTACAAAGATCCATTTATGGACTAAAGCAAGCTTCTCGAAGTTGGAATATTCGCTTTAACAAGACAATTGAAAAGTTCAATTTTGTTAGATGCGAAGAAGAACCTTGTGTGTACAAAAAGGTTAGTGGGAGCACAATTATATTCTTAGTGTTGTATGTTGATGATATATTGCTCATAGGGAATGACATACCGGCATTGCAAAGTACCAAGATTTGGCTATCTGAACAGTTCTCCATGAAAGACTTGGGAGAAGCAGCTTATATATTAGGAATAAAGATCTATAGAGATAGATCTAGGAAGCTGCTTGGACTTTCCCAGTCTTTGTACATTGATACCATCTTAAAGAGGTATAATATGGATAATTCCAAAAGAGGCTATCTACCGATAGGCACTGGAATTACTCTCAGTAGGGAGGATTGTCCTAAAACACCTGAAGAGAGAGAACGCATGAGTAGGATCCCATACGCTAGTGCAGTGGGAGCTATCATGTATACCATGACATGTACACGTCCTGATGTGGCTTATGCACTTGGAGTGACTAGCCGATATCAGGCAAATCCTGGTGAGGAACATTGGAAGGTGGTGAAGACCATTCTTAAGTACTTAAGAAGGACTAAAGACCAATTCCTCATCTATGGAGATTCTGAGTTGAAACTTGAAGGTTATACTGATGCAAGTTTCTCTTCAGATAGAGATGATAGCAAATCTATTTCTGGTTATGTATTCACCTTAAATGGTGGTGCAGTGAGTTGGAAAAGTTCCAAACAAGCTACAGTAGCTGATTCAGTGACTGAAGCAGAATATATAGCAGCTAGTGAAGCTGCTAAGAAAGCTGTATGGATGAAAAAGTTCTTAACTGAACTTGGTGTGGTTCCTTCAATAGAAGGTACAATTTCATTGTTGTGTGACAACACTGGAGCCATTGCTCAAGCAAAAGAACCAAAATCACACCAAAAATCCAAACACGTTCTGCCAAGGGATCACTTGATAAGAGAAATCATTGGACGTGGAGACGTCTAGATTCAAAAGGTTGATGGAAAGGAAAATGCTCCATACCCATTCACTAAAGCTCTTGGTGCAAAGAAGTTTGACAAGCACAAGTGAAAATTGGGAATGAAGTACAAGAGCGATTGGCTCTAGTGCAAGTGGGAGATTGTTAGGGATATAGTAGATATGCCCTAGATCCAATCTCATATTTGATGATTTGAACATATTTTTGTGAATGTTATTTGATATAAAAATATATGGCATTCTTTTATCATAGTTATTATTAATTGTTTGATTAATTTGATAAGGTCCTTGATTAAATTTTGAGATTTGTCATCGTGATAGAGATCATGATAATGAGATCAAAGTCTCTTACAATTTAATCTAAATTTATTCTTGATCGTAGGATTATTAATTTGAACATTAGTAATCCGGTTAGATCAATATTTATGTGATCGTCTTTATAGGATAAAGATTAGTTGATCTTATTAACTAAATTACATAGATAGATGATGCATATAGAAATATGATCATTGAACCGACTCATTGGATAATTCCTAATGGTTAGAATTACCATAAACTGTCAATAGGATATTCTCTTGAAGAATGTGATGTAACCGTTTCCTTTGACCTGAGATCGTCATAGTAATGGACAAGTTATTTATTGTGCTTTGATACTAGACACCTATGGCCCTAGAGCGATAGTTGAAAGGATATCGGGTATGATTAAATACTTGTAGAATTCGTGATTGATCAAGATGGAATATGTCAACTCTTGGTAATGAGTTTAAGCTCCATGTTGTCATGAATTATAAATGACCAAACTAAGACCTTGGCCAGGGCAATTGAATGAAAGAAGAAATGAGTTTCTTAGGTCATGCAATGGTCGATTATATCTGACATGGACACATAGTTGGTCGCCTATTAGGATTTGACAGTTAAACCATATCCTAGGGTGATCTAGAGCTATAAGGACAGGAGGAATTACTATATTATTCTTCTACTAGTTCGTGAGAGTAAATTGTATACTTCATTCTATCCGGTCGTTAAGGAGTGTTGCTAGACGCCACCCTTGATTAGTATATTGATGTGATCAATTTACTACCGGTTTAGTATTGAACCTATGGGGTCGCACACTAACGAGTATTCTGATCTTTGCTAAAGGATTAGTTACTTTATTATTTGTTAATTAAATTAAAGAATTTAATTAGTCAAATAAATTTAGTTATTAGTCCAAATAAAATATTATTATATTCTTTGCTAGCACAGAAGATATAATTAATATTGTGAACAAATTGAAGTTTCTATTTAGAATAGAAAATAAATTATTTATCTTGGTTGAAATATATTTGAGATATATATAATATGAATTAATATTGATTTATATAAAACTTATATATATAAAATATTAATTAATTTACCAATTTGGAAGTGGATAGGAAAAGTCCATAAAAGGACGTATGAATTGAATCCAACCAACTCCAACATTAAGTTGGATTGGTTCGACAGTCACGTTTAGTTAAAACGTCATTTCCGAATTTCCGTACAATTCGATTGTGATTTATTTTGGAATAAATTTTTACCCTAAATAAATTATTACTTCAATCAAATAGGAAAAAAAGGTTTATAGGTGATGCTATATAAATGTGATGGAACAAAAATTTGCACAATTAATTCTGGAGAAGAAAACCCACTTTGTGAAAGTGAGAGTGTAATACAAAGCCAAGAGAGAAAATACAGTTGCAAAAAAAAAAAGTGTTTCTTGTTCTTCTAACATTGAGTTGAGATTTTTGTGAAAAATTTCAACAAAATATTTCGTTCAATTTGTTCGCGGGTTTCATTGATCAAAGAGTTGATAGCAAGGATCAGTCTCGGTGTGGATACGCATAGAGTCTTCGCACTATCGAAGAAATTTTGAAACGAGACTCTCTTCACCAGGTACGTCTTAGATCTGATCTATTGACATGTAAATAAATTTTAAACATAAAAAGATCTGCCTAGGATTGTTATTGTCTTCCGCTGCGTGTTACGAACACCTATACGCAATCCTTCAGAGTGCCGGTAAGAACGACGAGAAAAAATTAGTCACATTCAATTATTATACTAATCTAATAAATATAAGACATATGTTTTTATATAAATTGTTAATATCTGATCCTTATTAATTAGTTCAAGTTTTACTCAATTATACCATTAACCATAGCCAATTAATACAAGTTATTGTAAATATCGAATGTGAGTAAAACTTTTCAAAATGATCGTTGAATGGTACACGACTTTTTCGACGAAAAGGAGAATGCAATTGAGGTAATTTAGCCGCAAATGACTTTTCATCTTTGTTTTCTTTCTTTCCCTACAGTATATTATGTTGTTGTTGTATACAGAATATTTTGATATAAACACAATGATATATTTGGTCAGTTTTTAAAATCTGCCAACCGAAAAACATATACTCCATATTTATTAGTAAGAAACTTAGATATACGGAGAACATAGAATTAGGTGAGGAAAATTAAGCTTTAAACTTTAATAAAATAGAATTTGTGTATATTTTCTGTTATTTTTCTTTTCCATATTTGGAGTAAAAAAATCAAATCAGCAAGTTCTTTGAGAGGACATCAAAGAATCTGACCGAAGTTTTAATAACTGTTCTCCTTTCTCCTTCCTACTAAGTACTAACTAATTATTGGTCAATCTAGCCTTGATGCAATTAATTAATTGCGTAAGAAATAGTAGTAATATACTAATATTTTAGTAAATTCAGAAGTTGGAACTGTCGGGAGTCTTTATTTTGGCTGTAGAACCAACTGGGGACTGTTTAAAATTAGTGCGTGGGTTAAGAGCCTATTTGGTCATAAAAAGTTTTTCATTTTTTTTCCGAAATCAATGTTTGGCCATAGCATTTTTAATTTTCGATAAATTTTGGAATTTTTTAAAAATTTAAAAAATTCTAAAAAATTATTTTTTAAAATTTCCATTCAGATCACTCACAAAATTTCAAAAACAATCCAAAATTATATTCATGTCGAAATACAACTCTAATTTCAAATACCATTTTGACTTTTTCTTTTTGGAATTTTACAATTCTAATGTCTTAAGAGGTCGTTTGGTAGGAGGTATTAGAAAACATAATGCAAGCATTAACTCTATGCATTATCAATATTTTGTTTGGTGCATTTTTTCAACTTGTGTATAACTAATACTAAGGCTATTAATGCATGCATTTGTGTGATTAAAGACAAAACTGTCCTTAAAGTCCCTTAAAGCTAGAGAATATGGAGGACATTTTTGTAAACAACTATTTTTCTTAAAAATTATGTAATGCATTATAAATTTAATACACCACACCAAACAGTAGATAAGAAATAATACTTGAATTACTAATCTATGCATTATTAATATACCTTATTCCGCACTATTCTTATATGCCCTACCAAACGACCCTAAGTGTATATAAAATGTTTACTTTGGGTTTTGGTGGTTGTGTGGGNCGGAGCATGTACATCTGTAAATCACGACGCCATTTTTATATACTGCTTAAGCTGCGATTTGTAAGGCGTGCGATCCCAAAAATAATCCAGATTAAAGAAGCTGATCGAGACGCGCCCACGAAGTACTCGCCTGTCCTCAATCTTCAACTTTAACAATAAAATGATCTCGACAAGACCACGTGGCTCTCTATAAAAGCGAGTGAATAACACAGCAGAAACCAGCGAATTGTTCATTTCTTATCCGAGTATACCGCTGAGTCTCTTACTTAACTCCATTTTTTGCTTAGCTTAATTTATGAAGAAGACCTATATATTTGCGCCGAGGGAGTACACTGCGCACCCCAACCCAACCCAACCCAACCCAATCTTCATCTTCTCCCTCTCTACCTCACATCACAGTGGTCTTTGTCTCTCTGGCTTTCACTTTCACTTCCTCGTAGGCTTTAAACTTGTATAATAATAACCCAAACATTTTCAAAAAACACACTTACACTTCTCCCCCCCCATAACCACAACTACTTAAGCTCAAAACCTAGGGTTTTCAATTTTCATTCCACTCATCTCGTGTTAATAAAATTCACACTAATCATTAAACACGAATGTATATAATTGTGAATTGTTGAAATGGATCCACCTATTATTAATGAGGCATCATTCTCGGCGGCCAACCCGAGTTCTTACAGCTTAGCTGAGATTTGGCCCTTTTCCACCGCGGCAAATGGTGGCGGCAACGGTGACCTTGGTGGAGGAGGCCTGGGTCTCAGAATGAGCAGCTTTACGGGTTTATTAGAGGCGGCTGCTAACTCCGTTAACGAATCTACTGTGACGGAGCAGAGCGGAAGAAGCGGCGGCGGCACTGCTGCTGTCAGGCAGAGGGATATGAATTCGGAGGATGACTCTTCTAAGCTTGTTTCTACTAGTGATGCTAATGATTTGGTAATTATAATTATAACTAACTTTCTAATTGCTCTTTTTTGGTTTAAGTACACGACTAAGCGGGATGTGGATAGATTACTGTTGATTTGACATTGAAATTTTTCTAATTATTATTTTCCTGCCTAAGGACTCACATTTTTGGAAGAATAAATATTTCTCATTGAGTTGAGTCACTTTTAGATGTCAATTTCCTAATTTGTTCTCTCAGTTCTCTTCTTGTTATGTCTACAACCAATTCTTTGTAATTGGTGATGAATTATTAAGTTGTTGATGCTTGTCAAACGGAACATATACTAAGCAATTCCTTGAGCTATAAGTTGATGATGTATGTGCTAATTGTCTATTTGCTTAGTGAACCATTTTCATTCGGATCAAGTTAGGTTTCAGCATAACCCGACTTCTAAGTCTTCAGCTGATGAAAATTCTCTACTGCTTCACAATTTATAGGTTTCATAATTCTTTTCAAATATTTTGCTAGTTAAGAATCAGCTCCTGGATTTACCATATTCCTTTAGATCAAATTCTTATCTTGATATGGTTTCCAGACTTAATGAAGCTACATATTGATTTTTCTTATTAATTCAAATTATGTTCGCAGCAGGATGGTTCAGTCGCCAAACGCCAGAAAGCATCAGAATCTAAAGAAGAAAATGGCGGCTCAAAGGTAGAAGCAGAATCCAGCTCCCGGACTGTTAACAAGGGCACTGAACAAAGTAGTAAACCTGAGCCACCTAAGGATTACATCCATGTAAGGGCAAGAAGGGGTCAAGCTACTGACAGCCACAGCCTAGCAGAGAGGGTATCAAATTCTCTGAACTTTCATAACTTTAATTGTCTGATGATTTTTTCATATTGGCTGAGCAGACTCTTTATTTATCAGGCGAGGAGAGAAAAAATAAGTGAGAGGATGAAAATTCTGCAAGATTTGGTTCCTGGATGTAATAAGGTTAGTAATTTTTTTGAATTATTTCTAATCTCTACAGCGAGCACGTGGGCTCCCCGTTAGAAATAGTGGTGGCTATTATAAAAAAATGGCGATATTCTTACCATATCTACTAACGGGAACCTACATCAGTATCTTCTGTGCTTGTAAGATGGAACGCATTTCATGTATAATTAGCATTTTTCGCGTGACTTAGTTAGTAACTCTCTTACAGGTTATTGGAAAAGCTCTTGTTCTTGATGAAATAATAAATTATGTCCAGTCACTACAACGTCAAGTGGAGGTAGTTCCTCATCTTTGCAGTAGTTGTCCTTTTGGGTCTTATGAACTCAGCCATAACCTCATCTTTTTTCTCTCAATTGAACTTTCCAGTTCTTGTCCATGAAGCTTGAAGCAGTCAATTCAAGGATGAGCCACCCTGTAGAAACCTTTCCTTCAAAAGATGTAAGTATTTGGTTTTCTTTTTCCTTATCACAGGTAGCTGGTAGATGGGTTCAGGTTTATGTTGATCTAAGACAAACACTATATCTGTTCTATCTGTTAATCCTTTCAAATTTTTGGAGTCGATAATCTACAGGTGGATAATAACTTGCTGAAGGTTATTTTATCTGATATTTTATTTACTTCAGATATTGTAGATTTGGTAAAGTAAATGCCAGAAATGGTAGATATCTTTCACTGCCCTATTTCTATATCACATTTGCTCATGGCTGCAGTTGAAATCTCTTTCACCCAAAGACTCTGGACCTAGAAGTTTAAGTAGTATTAGGCACCATGGTTGTGAGAAATTATGTGATGGTCAAGTAAAGTTATTGAATTAGTTGATTTTGATATCTTCCTCAAGCATCCTATGAATGCTTGAACTCTTGCAACCACATTTCTCGTAAGAAATGCATTCATGAAAACATTGAAAACTTGTGCTCTCTTTTGATTTGAACCTTTTGGATGAAACTGATTTGCCACTAGACTGACTCTAGTCAGTTCTCTTGAGGTAGTGTCAACAGGAAATCACCTGCATTGGTGTCTGGAGCATTGCTATGTGCCAAATTGCAGTTCTGGGAAAGCTTTCCGCATAATTTTTGATCAGATAGTAGCTGAGACTTTTCTCTAGATAGGGCACGGCTTGTTTCTAGACTCCTGACACCTTTGCCATATCTTTTAATTTTGTTTTACTCTAGGCATTAATTCTAAGAATCCAGTATAGAACAGCAAGGGAAATTTTTATATGGTTAACTTAGTTTAAGTTACTATCGAGCTTTGGAGTATAGACTGGAACCATCTCTAATATGCTTCAAGGAATTTAGTATCACAACTCATCAGATAGACTGTTGTGTAGAAGCACAAAAAGAGCTTTTTGTGACCACTTTTCTTGTGCTTTCTTGCACGCGTTATTTTTTTTTTCTTATAGTTTTCGGGGTGGGGCAGGTTTGGTCTGGAAGTTTACCATTGTACAATTCTTTTGTTACCCAATCCCATCTTCATAGTGATGATGTTTAAGGGGACGTTTTGAAAGTGAAGTTTAAGCTTTTCGCAGCATTGCTAAATCTGCACTTTACCATGTGAAATTAAATGACATGACCTTTGGACAGATGTAGACCTTTTCTGATAAGCTTCCATGCTTTTGTTATCTGGTGCCACAATAAAGTCTGTGACGTACTTGCTACCTATGTTGCTCGGACTCTCCGGAAATGTTGCTGGGTGCGTGTCGGATCCTCCAAAAATAGTGTATTTTTGGAGGATCCGACACGGGTGCGGCATCATTTTGGAGAGTCCGCGCAACATAACTTGCTACTTCTTTTGCCCCACTTTCCAACTTTTACTTTTCCAGTCCTTTGTTCTCTCAATGTATTGTTTTCTTGTATGACTTGACCTTGTTGGTCCTNTGATAATGTTTTTGTTTGTTCTTTTTTATTTTTCAGTTATTTGGTATAGGCTCTAGGTAATGTGCAGGTGTTTAGGCATTTGCATTCTTGCATTGTCTCCGAGCTTTACCGTACTTATTCAATGTCATCAACTAGGTTAGATATGCGAATGAAAGTCCCCGATCCTCTTTTCCTACACAGCTTATTACATCACCAGTAGCATTTATCTGATCGAGAGGCGCAACTCAACACATATCTACATCACGGCCCGACCATTGGATATCATGGTTAATCAGTCGAAAGCCACATCAGCGTGGTTGGCTATATATACAACAACAACAACAAAAAACCCGGTGTAATCTGACAAAGTACGGTCTGAAAAGGGTAGTGTGTACGTAGACTTTACCCTAACCTTGCAAATGTAGACGTGGTTGGCTATATTTGTGTCACAATAATGTCGTCTTTGCAGCATAGACTCAAAATCACTCAATTGCATGTTAAGTAGCACTATAGCAGTTGCTTTTATTTCTAAATCTCCCCACGGATTTGTGACAGTAAAGATATAAATAGAGTAGCAGAGCCAGAGCTCGATAGTCAATACACGAACATGTATGTACCTCTGCCGGTTCTTCTAAATATCGCTAAGAAGAGATGATTTCTTCTTTTACTTCCTTAAATCTTAATTAACAAGAACAGAATCTCAGCTGGCCTCCACCTTTTGGAAGTTTCATTAGCTTAAATGCATCTTTTTTTTTTTTTTTTTTTTTTGGTAACAATGTAAATATTACCATTAACAACAAACTCCAATACGCCTAAAGAGCACTTAAATCCCATAGCCACTTTCCATGAAGGGTACTATGTAATGTAGGCCTCCAACATAGCTAGAATTTCCTGAATCAATCTCCTACACCAATGTGCTCTCTTAGACATTCTAATTTATTCTATTCTATCTATAAACTCCTTGATCTGTACTACTATCATGTCTATATTTATAGTGTGTCCCCTAAACAATTTTCAATTCCCAGCTTTCCAAGTATGGTATATTCTTGCACTCCATATACCTGCTACTATCTCTTTTTTGAATTGCTGCCAATATCGATTCTTTATTCTGTCAAATCATAACCTTCAATTTTCATTAACCTTTTAATATGTACTTAGGTGATGTAACACAAATCATAATCAGACTTATGAACTTGGCAGGAAACCCATACCCTTTTGAGTTCTTCTTCAACAAACTCCCAACTAACCATAGTGTAAGCTTTCCTTAGGTCAATTTTCATCAAGCATCTGGGTGATGTCTGTCTATTATAGTGCCTCAAAAAATCATGACATATAAGTACATTATGAACCATAGATCTCCCTTGCACAAAAACTGATTGACTCTCTGCCATAGTTTGTCATGACCCAAAAATCACTGGCCGTGATGGCACCTAACTTGACCCGCTAGGTAAGCCAATTAACCAAAAGAAACAACCAAATAACTTATAGAAAAAAGGAAGTTAGAATTTATTTGAACTTTCACAAATTTTACCCAAGAACTGGTAGTACAAGTCATGAACATCTAGAATTTAGGATTTTCAAAGCTAATACAACTTTTCACACGATCTATTCGAAAACTACATAAACAGATTAAGAATGTCTAAAACTACCAAGAACAAGTGACAGCTTCAACCAGACGCACGAACATCTTCTGAAATCAGCACCAAACGTCACCAACAACCCTGCTCCAAAATCTACACGGGGCGTGCAGAAGTGCAGTATCAGTACAACCGACCCCATGTACTGGTAAGTATTTTGTATAACCTCATCGAAGTGGTGACGAGATTTTGAGTTAAAAGATGCTTATTATTATAACCTGTACATTAGTTTAATAGTAAAAGCAGTTCGAAGCATAACAGATAGAAATATCATAAACAACTCGATGAGACAGTCAAAATTTGCAAAAGAAGAACCACAATAGAATATTTACGATCTTTCCTGGTATGAAATATATGTCCAAAATGTCAATTGAGAAATCAGATGGCACGGTAACACCTTTCGTGCTTCTATCTCATCCTCACCATGTATAAATAAATTATGTAACATTTCAATTAGCACCGCAACATCCTTCGTGCGTTCAACTCATCCTTTCAAATGAACGTATAACAGAACCCACCATATGACAGAAACACAATTATAGAAATTACAAAGTAGGGAATACGCAAATAACAACAATGGATAAGGATATACATGTGAGCAACAATAAAGAACTAAACGGAAAGCACATGAGTAATAACAACAACTGGAAAGCAAGGAATATCAACTTCAATTAACTAGCATATTGAAGGCCTAAGTACAATTATAACAATTAAAATGGAAATACGTGATCTTCGCAAGTTAACAAGTAAGGGCATGAATGGCTAGCATGGTAAAAGACTTAAACTAAAGCGCAACATAACGGATACAACATTAGTATAATTATAAAATCAGGAAGTAGACACGGTATTTGCAAGTTAAGCAAGTAAAAGACATGGACAGTGCAACAACATTTGAGATAAAGGTCAAGTGCAGGACTGTCACACCTCCTTTTTACCTACACCCCGAAAGGGTGTATAAGGGAGTTTTTCCAACTTAAAGTGACAATCAAAACGGGATTATTCTATTTAAAATCAGAGTTTCCACTTGGGATAATTTATGTTGTCCCAAGTCACCGGTTCAAATCCCGAATCGAGGAAAAGATTGACTCTGTATTACAGTCCGCGAACCAGAAATCCGAGTAAGGAATTCTGTTAACCTGGGAGAAGGTGTTAGGCATTCCCAAGTTCTGTGGTTCTAGCACGGTCGCTCAACTGTTATATTCAGCTTAATTGTCTGATTTTTAACGATTATGAACCTATATGCAAATTTTAACTTTTAACCGCTTTTATTTAATATTTAAAGAAGATTGAACGTCGTTTAAAATGTATCTTTGGATCGCACCACATGAAATGCACCCGCAATCCTAAACACATTTTAGTCAATGTTTTAAGATTTTGATTTGGGTCACATGAAATGCACACCTAAATTTAGGAAGGTAATTGATCACGCCCAACTATGCCTTATAAAAAGGACCCTGCGGACGTTGCAAATATAACCTGAGTATTCTGCCCAGAGTCGAATCCAAAGAGAGTTAACCTATCAATCACTATCTTTAGACCCACTAAACTCTTGAGAACCAATTTCCCCAAACGTTTGAATCACAGTTGATGGTGTCTTCATTAACTAAAATTGCAAGTAAATAAACAGTTGTAAACTAAGGATGCTAAGGTTGTAAACAATAATGAGAAAACGCTAAGGTAATGACTTCCCCTATTGATGGAATCCCTTCTGTTTATGCTTCATACAAATTGACCAACACCTCTCTATCAATCATGAACGCTCATCTTACCGTAAATCTCTCCCGAGTAATCACAGTAATATACTCAATGCACTCTCCCGAGATACACTAGCTAGCTCTAATTAACACGGTTCACTTTAGATTGCACTCAAGGCTTCATTATCCCTAATCCCGCCTTTAAACCCGCAGTTATAGATCCCTCTTATACTTTGGGAGTGGTGTTGTTCAACAATAACCTAAATATGCACTGTCTCCCGAGTTATGCACACTAAATAGGCACAGCTAATTGAGGATCCTGTCAATTAACTACAACATGCACAAAGTTGAACGAATAAAGATTGAGACTAGCAATTTGTATTCACATAAACAAGAAGTTCATCCCCCAATAGGTTCCATCAAAACCTTAGACAAAGGATTTAGCTACTCATAACTATGAGTAAACAAACTAAAACAATATTCATCATAAAATTTACAAGGAAAATCAAATAAAAGAAGAAAGATGTTTTGGGTGATCTCTCACAATTGTTTTTCCTTGCCAAAATACTCTCCAAATCAATACATGCCTCTCTTGGGCGAAGTCTAATGTTTAAAATAGGGTTTTGGGCTAAAAATCCCGTGTTTTGCACTTTAGTCCCTGAAGTTCTCCGCCTCCGCCGCAGTTCTGCCGCGGTCGCGGTCAAACTGCAGCCAAACATGCTCTCTGATTCTCACTTTGTCTGCAGCCATCTTCTACCGCGGTTCTGCCGCGGTCGCGGTCAAACTGCAGCCAAACATGCTCTCTGATTCTCACTTTGTCTGCAGCCATCTTCTACCGCGGTTCTGCCGCGGTCGCAGTGGAACCGCGACAGTCCTCTTTCAGTTCTGACTTGAGCTGTTCCGCATGGTTTACTTGACGGAATTTTACGATCGGCCTCTTTTTCTCCATATTTGATCCCAAAAGTACTTCATAGCCTTCTCTGGTCATATATAACCTACAAAGCATGAAAAACACTAATAAGTGCATTTTGTTATCACTTTTATCAACCAAACTATACAAGAATGTGGTTATTTAGGGCCTAATTATAGTTAAATTCACCTATTATCAGTAATGTTATTTAACGACGCGCCTAAAGCAGCTACGTGCTTTGAACTTTGCGAGGGCCATAGAAAATTTGCTAAATGGCACGCCCCGAATTCTAAGGATTAAAATATTAACTAAGCGAGGGCCATAAGTTATACATTTTGGCTAATCGGCGTGCCTCAACCCATTTTTAAAGGGTCTAGTTAGTTAAGTAAAGGTCTAAAGTGATTTGAATTCCATCAGACAAGGGTCTTAACCTTTAAGGCTCAACAAAGTGTAACAACGTTTTGCTAATATAAAATCCAATCAACAGCAGGCCCAAATCAACAACAGGCCCAAATCACAAATGAAACAGAGGTCTTGAACGTAATTGGTAGTGCATCCAAAGGCACTGGGCCAACGCTAAAGGCCCAGCTGCAGATTTTAACGCCAAATCATACATAAAAACTCAAAATTGTACACATTTAATTGAATACCAATCATAAAACTATGTTGAGCACATGACTGAACTAACATCTTTGCTTCTTTGATTATTTAAACATAAAGCAACTAAAATTATAGTTCTGATCTTGTCTGCACCTTGGACCCACGCTTGCCTT